CAAAGAAAGGACACCTTATAAATTCCTGTCTGTTGCCATTGCCAAGCATTTCAGTAAGTTAAAATATTGACTAATTATTTTGTTTACATCTGTAATTATGCTAATTTGTTACAAATATTGAGTAAATTTAAATTCGCATTATGTAATTTCTTAAGTCAAAGTTTTTAAAATGTCAATAAGATGGTTTAATGCGAGTTCAAGCAAAATATTTAAAAGATTTTTTTAATCAATATTGTTTTTAAATTGACGAAGGGGTTAATACTAACAGTCAATTTATGCCAGTGAGTACATTAGATCTTACCACATTCTTGTAATCTAAATCATTGATATAATTTCAGTTGATAAGATATTTATACGTATATGTGCACTCACTGTGACTGTGCAATGTGCAATTATCTTGTTTGCTCTTCAGACATTATTTTATAGTCGCTGTGTTTTGGAAGTCTGTTTTTTAACTCCTTAGAAAAAAAATTAAAGAGAAAATTATTACTTAACTCATAGAGAACAAACTTCCAAATAAATAAATAGAACTATTATTTGTAAATACGTATTCGAATTAATAAATCAAAAATTTATGAAAAACTCAACTTTCGAATTTAGCCGATAATTGTTATTTATTGATTCGTGAAAAGAAGGCAAGTAAATTAAATTAAGAAAAAACAAAAACAAACCAAATGCGATAAAATGCCATCCTTTTGTTAGTTTAATGAACAAAAATGTAATGTGCAATTAAAAAATTACCTTTCTATGATCTTAATTAGCAAAATAATTCAAATATTTGAAATGTGCCTAGTTTAACGAACAACAATTTCACAATGAAGGAGCGTCCCAAAAAATCTATCCCCCCTATCAATATGCAAAATATACATCGAATATAAAACTAACCCGCGTTCATATTTTAGATAAATGTAGAGAAGTGACGGTAAGTGATCACGTTAATAAAAGTTCGATTTTTTTTACTTACCGATAGATGTTATTCTAAGTAAAAGATTTTTTTTAATAAAGAAACAGAAATTATTCATATATTTCACAAATTTCAGGGATCTTTGACATTCCTAATTTTGCAATCTTATTCATGGATTTCAGGGTGAATGAATAGAGTTGAATTCTATGTTTACATTAATGGAAACTTTAGTTTTCATTTAGGTTCTGAAATATTGAAATTACGTATTATTTTATTTTCATTTTATAATTTTAAAACCTAATATTCTACATAAATACTTGCTATCGATTGTATTTTCTTTGTTACAGTGTACTTACTTGCTCTTTATAAAATTGTCCCCAAACAGATTTTACTGAGAAGGAATTATTTGTCTGGTGTGCAGGTAGCTAAAAAAACCCTATTTAATGATGTCTGACTACAAGCATAAAAGTGGTGCTCAAAAGAGAAAAAAGATAAAATATCCATGATAAAGAAGACAACAAATAAAATTGATACATTTTTTGCTAAGAAAGCTACATCCTCTGAACAAGACAAAGTTACAACTGACTTTGGCTTACAAGATAAAACATTAACATGTGCAGAAGCACCATCTGAATTTGAAATCACACCTGATGAAAGCGAATTCGATGAGCCACCATCTAAGATTTTAAGGCCTGATTCCATGACAACCAGTACGCAGGTTACACATGCAAAAAGTGCGTATTTTTTAAAACCGGATACCAGCCATAATGCGTCAATTTCACAGGAGATGTTCTGGAAATTTCATCCAAACCAGCCTGTAATATACCATTTAATAGTGCTGTTGTATATGACAGACAAGGCATTCAGGGCATGAATATTAACAGAAAGTGGGTAACATACAATGAAGAAAATAAGAGTTTACATTGCTCATTTTGTCTGATGTATGTTCCCGAAAAAAGTCGAAATATACAGATGATCCAGGGCTGTTCTGATTGGAGACACATCGCAATGAGACTTTTGGAACATGAAAAGAGCCAGTGTCATAAGCATTCTACTGATGCATATTTTCTGAATGCTTGTGAAAGATCCGCCAAGCACAATTTGTTAAAGGAACAACTCTCCTTAAGAACCCAACAAGTTCTTCAGCATCGCTCTGTTTTAAAGTGTATAATTGATGCAATATTTTACATTGGGTTTCAAGTTTTGTCTTACCGTGGCAAATATGTAGAAGCTGTTGCAACTGCATTTGATGAAAATAATCAGGATAATGCTGGGAATTTTTTAGAGGCTATAAAGCATCTTGCAGAGTACAATCCACACCTGCAGGAACATTTGCAGAAGGTGGTTTTGCAAGGCAAACAAAAAGATCCATCTAAGAAAGGGCGTGGCAAATTTGTTACTTTTTTAAGTAAAACAACTGTCAATAAGATAATAAATATTATTTCAGACATGGTTAAACACGAAATTGTGAAGGAGGTGAAAAATGCAGGGGTGCAAATTGACTCTACCCAAGACATTTCTGCCCATGATCAGTGTGCCATTGTCCTTAGATATGTAGTTGCAGACAGAGCTAAAGAAAGACTTGTTCGCCTGAATAATTTAAGTGGAAAAATGCTTGCACAGCCTGTTACGAAATTCACTTGCAGAGATAGGTCTGACACTGAGGCAGTGTATTGGAGATTCATTTGATGGAGCAGCAAATATGAGTGGTGTTTACTCTGGTCTTCAGGCACTTATGAAAGCAGCTCGCCCAAGTCACATCCATACTTGGTGTTATGCACATGTTCTGAATCTGGTGATCAGTGATGCAAGCAGTGGATGTGTTGCATCAGTTAGTCTTTTTGGTTTGCTAAATGAGCTATGCTCATTTTTCAATGATTCCTACAAAAGGATGAAGGTGTGGGAAGAGCATATGCAGACCAAAACAGGAAATAAGAAACGCCTAGAGCGTGTTGGTCAAACTAGATGGTCAAGTAGAAGCAGAGCACTTCGAAAATTTTTTGGAAATTACGCAGATCAGTCATCAGAATTCTTTTCGGACCTTCTGATCATCCTTCAGGAAGTAAGCGAAGCAACTGATTTCAAAGGATCAGTTCGCTATGAAGCACAGAAATTGAGTGAAAACTTGCGCAAATTTGAAACCATCTTAATGGCGTTTACATTCATATGAATTTTTGAAATTACAACACCTGTGTCAGATTATCTGCAGACACCAGGCCTGGATATCATGTAAGCTTGGGCATGATTAACAAAGCCACTGAAAATATTGAAAAAATCTCAAGAGATTTTAGGGCATTTATGAAACTGCGTCTGATTTTGTTGTTCATGCAAATTATAAATTAGAAGAAGTGAAGATTTTGTCCCTAATAGCTTCTCAATTTCAACCATGAGATCTAGTCGCTCAGCACCAGAAGGTATCACAGACGAGAAGAAAATTTTTGAGGTTTTATACCATAATGCAGTTATTGATGCTGTGCTCTCTCCAGCATGCGAGCTAGATTCTCGTCTCATGAGAAGCTCTATAACCAAATTTCCTGCTTTGATCCAAACAGGTTTTCTGAAATTTTAGCATCCCCACAAGACATTGAGCTAGGTTTGATTGCTAATGCAATACCAGAAATTGACATAGTGGCACTACAGGATGAACTGATTTCATTTGCATCAAGCTACAAAGACTTGAAAAAAGGGCTGCTAAAAAATATAAATGACAATGAAAATGATTCAGACAGCTTGGATTCAGAGGAGGAGGATACAAATGTTACTCAATCATCTGCCAAGACAACAAGAATTGTTTGTCATGTGCTTTCAAGCTATTATCTGAGTACAGGCTGTGTGCAGCTGCATATGAAAATTTATATGCTGCATAAATTTATTGTAACTCTAAGCATCACACAGTGCACATGTGAAAGATGTTTTTCTAAACTAAGACTGTTGAAAAATAACTTGGAGTCACTTATGCTAATTGCTATTGAAAAAGACAGTGTTGCAGGCCCGGTAGGGTGCAGTGCTGGTTTATTACTAAGTGGCCTTGTGCCAGACACCACACTAAACTACCGAGTCTACAAGCAAAGTAAAAAAAATAAAAATATGCGTGAATGAACAACGAAGAAATGTGGTTAATCCACACGTGCATAAAATAAAATATATTAAGATAGCCGACACAGAATGACAGAACAAAGACTGGATTCCAACAAGAGTAATTTTTATTAAATGCAGGAAAAACAAGTAAATCATCCCGTAGTCGGGATCAATGAAAAAGTTCCGCGCCAAAAGTAGAAAACAAGATGGCTAAAGGCGGGAAGGTTCTTGAAGAAGAAAGGTTCCAGCTAAGTCAATGTACATGATAATATTCATACAAGGAAAAAATACTCACTGCGAGTTTTTAGGTAATGTGAGTGAATGTTATGTACATATTTCTTTTCTTTTTTTTTGTACTGGTTCAAAACAGATTTATGACCAGACCCAAAGTGGACGACGAATTAATATTTTGTATGTTCTGCATCGTCTCGGAAAAGGACTTTGAATGACGAGTCACAAAGGGCCGAAAAGTTAATTATTTGGTATATGCATCATCTCGTAGAAGGACTTTGAATGACGAGTCAAAAGGGACGAGGAATTAATATTTTGGATGCTTTGCATCATCTCAAAAGGGGAATTAATTAGAAGGACTTTGAATGACGAGCCAAAAGGGACGAAGAATTAATTATTTGGTATTTGCATTTTGAATGATATCCCTCGTCTGCCATCCTTGCATATTGCCATGGCTAAAAATGAGTCTGCTTAGGTCCGAGTCTGGATCACCAACTGACTTTTTCTGAAACAACAGTTTGTCGTTGACGTCACAAATTTTTCGCGGCAAGATTTCAAAAATCTAATTTGCATAAACAGGAGTAGCAGGTCGTTTGACTGCTGACCAAAACAGTTACTACTGTATTAGACCGAACGAGGGAGAAAGGGGTGTCAAACGCCGCGAGTGGAAAGAAGGGAGGAAACTCGCGCGCGCGTAAAATGTCGTAGATGGAATAATACATTATTCCACACAGCCCTCCTCCTGGATCAAATGTCGCAGACATTTGACTAATAATAGTAGAATGTTTCAAATTTCTTTGGAAAGGTGACTTTTCGACTGGAGCTGGTATACTTTAGGCTTGTCGAGAGAAACAGGTGTCTTGAAATTCTCCTGAACTTGCGGAGTTGATTGGGAAGTAGTATGAGACGACGGTTTCTCTATAAAGGCAGGTTTCAACCGATCTATTGAAACGTTGTCGGTGTGAATACCTTTTTGTATTTGGAAATATTTGTCCGCGCGTTTAAGAACGCGGTATGGGCCTGTGTAGGCCGGCGTAAGAGGCCGCTTAACAGAGTCGTTACGTACAAATACAAACTCGCAGTCCTTGAGCTGGTGCGGTAAATAGATATCACTCGGGCAGTGCCGCGGTGGTGTATAGCATAAGTTTGCCATTTTAAGGCGTAAGTCCTGAATAAAAGAGGAAGAAACTGGTGGTGTGGTCACAGCTGGTGAAAAATATTGGCCAGGTAAAGATAACGAAGTACCAAATACAAGCTCTGCAGGGGAGCATTTCAAGTCATCCTTAAGAATATTTTTTTAACGATAGAAGGATGAGGGGTAATTCATCGACCCAATTATTATTCTCATGCTTCGTTGATAGCGAAGCCTTAAGGGTGCGATGGAATCGTTCCACCAGCCCATTAGCACAGGGGTGATACGCTGTAGTACGTATATGCTTTGCACCAAGGAGTTCAGTGAATTCCCTGAAAAGACACGACTGGAACTGTGCTCCTCTATCTGTAGTAACCACTTTAGGAGTCCCAAAAATCGAAATCCAATCGCGTAAAATAGCTTTTGCGACAGTCACCGCAGTGGTATCTTTGACAGGGATGGCAGTAGGCCATCGGGAAAAACGATCCACTATAGTTAGAAGGTAGGAATAACCATGGCAGGTTGGTAGGGGCCCAACTAAGTCCAGGTGTATATTAGTAAAACGAGCATCAGGCTCGCTGAAAGTGCCCACAGGAGATTTTGTGTGTCTATGCACCTTACACTTCTGACATTGTAAACATGTATTGACCCATTCGCGAATGTGAACGTTCATATTCGGCCAAACGAAACGGTCCGAAATTAATTTAACTGTGGCTCTTTTGCTAGGGTGTGAGAGTCCGTGTAGGTGGTCAAAAACCTGTCTACGAAGAGACGGAGGAACATAAGGTCTTGGGGATTTGGATTTAACATCACAGTATAGGACCTTGTTACTAAAAGGAGCTGGACATTTCTGAAGTTCCAAAGAAGTGTCGGATAACACCTGCTTCAGAGTTATGTCCGCTTTCTGTTCGTCGGCGATCAAGTCTTGACTGAGTGCATCAGTATGCACGCCGAACATCTCAGTACGAGATAGGGTATCGGCAACAGTGTTATCCGAACCCTTAATGTACCTAATATCAGTAGTAAATTGAGATATATAGTCCAGATATCTGATTTCCCTCGAAGTGTATTTGTCCGAATTGGTGGACATAATGGACGTTAAAGGTTTGTGGTCCGTAAAGATAACGAAGGACCTACCTTCGAGGAGGTGTCTGAAATGCTTAATAGCACGAAAAATAGCCAACAGTTCACGAGAAAAGGTACTGTAGCGTGACTGGGCAGGAGAAAGTTTAGCGGAAAAGAACGCTATGGGTTTACGTTGAGAAGGAGTGACTTGTTCAATGACCGCGCCTATTGCTGTTTCGCTAGCGTCAGTGGTCAGGTAGATATCCGACTGAGGATCGTCCTCTAAGAAACTAAGCTTAGAAAAATTGCCTAGAGCGGTTTTAGCTGCTCGAAAGTCGTCCAAGGCTTCGTTCTCAAGTATAATAGTCTTATTCTTCTTCTGTAATAAGTTGGTAAGGGAGTCAGGATGTTAGAACAGTTTGGAATAAACCTCCTGTAGAAGTTGATCATCCCTATAAAGCGTCTCAACTGTTTAATAGAAACAGGGACGGAAACTCAGTGATAGCTTTAATCTTTTCAGTTATAGGGGCAATTCCATTTGCATCGACATGATGTCCTAAAAATTCTATATGGTCTGATCCGAAGACACATTTGTCCAGGTTTAGACGAAATCCGTAATGGGACAAACGTTGAAGAACTTCGTGTAGGTGTTGCTTATGCGAGGCAGCGTCCTCGCTAGCTATCAGAATGTCGTCAATGTAATCGAAAACAAAAGGGAGTCCACGCAGAACCTCGTCCATAAGACGCTGAAAGGTCTGTGCTGCGTTGCAAAGGCCGAAAGGCATTTTCAAAAAATTCAAATAAACCGAAAGGTGTAGTAACAGCAGTTTTGGGACATCAGCAGCAGCTACTGGCACCTGATAATATGCTTTTGCAAGATCTATTTTAGTAAAAATCTTTGCGCCTTGTAAACCAGAAGTGAAATCGTGGAGGTGGGGAATTGATAACGATCCCGGACGGTGATGGAATTCAATCTTCTATAATCCACACAAATTCTATAGTCTTCCTTTCCTGGTTTAGGTACCAAATGAAGAGGGGAAGCGTAGGGACTGTCGGACGGACGAATAACACCCTCTCGTAGCATGTCGTCGAAAGCTTTCTTTGCGAATTTTAATTTGTTAGGTGCTAGACGACGAGGACGGAAAAAACAGGTTGACCAGTGGTCTTAATAAAGTGTTGTGTTTGATGTTTAGTTGAATCAATAGATCCAGCAGGACGCAGGAGGTCCTGGTACTGATTCAATAAGTCTAAGTACTCTTTATTGTGGCACGTTGCCACGGTGATGCCAGTGGTGGTAAGTTTAGAATAAGTGCCAAGAACACACAGTCTTGTTAAGTTGTCTGTTAGGGAATGATTGTTCATTCGAACGGCGAGATCATAGTGCGCCAGGAAATCGGCACCTAATATCGGCATCTGGACGTCAGCAACAGTAAAATTCCAGGTAAAGTCTCGTCGCATTCCTATGTTTAGGGTAAGGGACTTCGTACCGTAAGTATTAATACTGGAACCATTTGCTGCTTGTAGGCGGAGCTGGAAAGGTTGTTGACGTGCTTTATCACGCACGGGTAAGACACTAATGGCAGCGCCGGTGTCAACCAAAAAACGTAAATTATTACGTGTATCCGTCACATAGAAGAGGCGACTAAGCTTTGGTGAAAATGCCTTGCCAGCGAGATTAGTCGCTTTCACTCGCTGGCGGTTTTGTTTTCCGCGACCGCAGTATAGGAACACGGCTTGGTGCAGTAGTGTGCTGCAGACCCAAATCGTCGGTGGTAGTAACACATAGTAGAAGTGGCATCCTTGTTCCGACTGGACGAGCGAGGTCGACTTCTGAAGCGCCGGCGGAGGGAAGCCGGACCATGACCATAGCTAACGTTATAGCTAACGTTTTTTAAATGACCTGTGGTCTAAGTCGCTTCAGCGTTGTACTGGCGTTGTCCGATGATCCAGTTGCGAGAAAAACGGTCAGCGGCGTCTCCAATTGATCGATCGGGGTGTTTTTTCCAAGGACTTGTCACTAGCTTTTCAATATAGAGTCAGCCATGGTATTTTTTGCTGAGTGTCATTCTGGCTATCGGATTAATGATTTACGGCCCGTTTATATTTCTTTTTAACCGGGCTTGAACGGTTTCAGGAAATTATGTTGGCAAAACCGCCAGGTTGCCAAAAATCTGACTGTAAAGACAGCTTCCGTATGAACCAGTTCATGTTCAACTTCAGAGTCATTAGACGTCAAACTATGAATTTTGCAGGCTTGCCAGAATTATGTAAGGTTGCAAAATTATTGCTGGTTTATTACTAAACTTGTTGCAGGCCCGGTAGGGCCAGACTGGTTTATTACTAAACTTGTGCCGAGTCACTAAACTACCGAAGTAAAAATAAAAATATGCGTGAATGAACAACGAAGAAATGTGGTTAATCCACACGTGCATAAAATAAAATATATTAAGATAGCCGACACAGAATGACAGAACAAAAGACTGGATTCCAACAAGAGTAATTTTATTAAATGCAGGAAAAACAAGTAAATCATCCCGTAGTCGGGATCAATGAAAAAGTTCCGCGCCAAAAGTAGAAAATAAGATGGCTAAAGGCGGGAAGGTTCTTGAAGAAGAAAGGTTCCAGCTAAGTCAATGTACATGATAATATTCATACAAGGAAAAAAAATACTCACTGCGAGTTTTTAGGTAATGTGAGTGAATGTTATGTACATATTTCTTTTTTTTTTTTTTTGTACTGGTTCAAAACAGATTTATGACCAGACCCAAAGTGGACGACGAATTAATATTTTGTATGTTCTGCATCGTCTCGGAAAAGGACTTTGAATGACGAGTCACAAAGGGCCGAAAAGTTAATTATTTGGTATATGCATCATCTCGTAGAAGGACTTTGAAATGACAAAGGGTCGAGGAATTAAAGGGACGAGGAATTGAATGACGAGCCAAAAGGGACGGATTAATTATTTGCATCATCTCGGAAAAGGACTTTGAATGACGAGCCAAAAGTGACGAGGAATTAATTATCTGGTTTTTGCATTGTAAGATATCCCTCGTCTGCCAACCTTGCATATTGACATGGCTAAAAATGAGTCTGCTTAGGTCCGAGTCTGGATCACCTACTGACTTTTGAAACAACAGTTTGTCGTTGACGTCACAAATTTTTCGCGGGAAGATTTCAAAAATCTAATTTGCATAGCAGGTCGCTTGGTTGGTGACCAAAAACAGTTACTACTGTATTAGACCGAACGAGGGAGAAAGGGGTGTCAAACGCGCGTGCGCCCGCGAGTGTGAAGGAAAGGGAGGAAACTCGCGCACGCGTGTAAAATGTCGTAGATGGAATAATACATTATTCCACAATAGCAATGAAAATCAATTCAAACAAAGACAAAATTATTGATAAAATTGCAGAATCCTCTACTGAAATGAGTACAATGTTGTTACTGTAATCCTTGAAAGTTGATATTTGAAATTTTTGGCTCAGTATTATTGTAAAGCATTTAAGACGTATTTAAAATGTAAGTTGTAAGTAATATTTTAAAAAGTCTATGTTAACACATTTTATTATTTGTTTTTAATATCTATTATAAATTTTATAATTTATTTTAGTACATTATTTACGTGTTGATTCGCAGTAATAAAATGGAAATTTTGTTTGACATGTCATTTGTTGTTACTATCATTATGTGTCCATGAACATCTTTATGAGCTTCAAGTTTTCAAATCTTTTGATGCATAGGCACCTCCAAAAAATTCGGTACCCAAGGTTTAAATGTATTTTTCATGAATAAAAAATCCTTTTTGAGCTTTCCCCAAGCTTCAATTGAAAGCTAAAGGGTTCAATTTTCTAATTCCAGAAAACAAAACACTGTACTGTATTTCAACTAGAAATTATAATGATTTTAATCGATTCTTCTGAAAAACTAATTGAAACGGCCATGTTTAACTTTTTTTTATAGAGAAATGTAAACAAAAATAATTTTTTGTTTTAAAAAAACCGCCTAAAATAACATATAGATTTTTGAAACGTTACTTTCGTAAAATTAGCAAATTTAAAGTTTAATTAATCTGTTTTAAAACAAACATCACTTACACTATGAAATTTTCTAGACAAGCATTTCTTCACTACGGAGTCTTGAATTTTCTCGAGTCTCCATCGATAATTTGATGGCCGCGTGTGTTGACAGGTTTAGTGTGGTGGACCAGAGCTGATACAATTTTTCGAATTCTAAGTAAGAATGGTTTGCTATTGCATTTTTAACTACTAAGTAATGTCTAAAATTTAAAATATTTCAGGCAATTATCTAATATTTTACTGATTTTTTAAACTGTAATTTTGAAGATGTTTTCTTATAATAATTTAAAAATAAAATACTATAAAAATTTTTTAAAATTATGTAGTTACCTCTATAATGGTAGATAATTATGATAAATAATTTTATTAATTACTATATTATCAGTTATTACAATTTTAACTAAATAACTGAGATGTAATATTATTAATTATTATATTAATTATAAATTATATTATTAATTATATTAATATTTATCTTAAATTATTAATAATAATTAATAATCAAAATTATTAATTATTATAACTTCTATCTCACTCAGGTTTTACATTTTTACAACTGAAATATAATTTTATCTCAATAATTCACTTCTTAATTTAATAACCGAGTTATAAAAGTAATTATCTGTTATCACAAATGATAGAGATAACACTATGCTTTAAAATTTATAGTATTTAATATTTATATCTTTTAAGATCCTATTTTTTCATTTTATTCTTTATTATATTTTGATGTTTATGAATTGTTAAAGTTATTTTATTTAATAAATTTTTAAAGTACTTAAATTTTTATTACTTAGATAATTGTACACCAAGGGCTTTCCCATGGGGGGAGACAAGCCTTGAAACACTTGATAAACATCGTGACGCACAAAAAAAATTAACTTTTATTATGGTAAAAAGTTTTGGTAGCGTTATTTGTATTAAGCTTTTAATTTTCACTTAGTAAATATCGTCTTCACTTAAAAACCTGACAGCCGACCAAATGCGCTGCAAGAAAGAATTTTAAAACATTTTTGAAAATAAAAGAAAAAAAAGAGGAAAAAAATAAAAGAAAAATGCAAACAATTGTTGTAAAAATTCTACATTCACCGAAATTTTATTTTTTCTTCAGATAATGTCCTTAATGTATATTATTTATAAAAGCAAATAAAAACTTATCTAATTTGATAATTAGATAGTTTATTGCAGTTTTTATTTTTATGATTTGGAGCAGATTTTTTTAAAAATTGGGACTAGTTGTGAAAAACTAAATTGGTTATTTAATTTCTCCAAGAAGTCCTCTTTATAAGAAAAGAAAAAAGTTGCAAACTTTTTGAAATTCTATAAAATTTCATAAAATTAAATTTGGATGTAAAAAAAAAAAAAAAAAAAAAAATTACCAAGATTTTCTAAAAATAAAAATTTCAAAAATAAATTCATTCATTTTTTAATAAGTTTTAAAAGTTTCATTTTAATTAGACAATTATTTGATTTTTGCAATGATTTCAAAATTAATGAGTTCTCACCCGAAATTGCTACACTAAAAAAAAAAGCAATGACCACAAGTCGTACGGTTTTAAAAAAAGAAAACGAGATGTTTGATTAAATTTAAAAGTGTTAGAAAGAAGAAAAATTTTAAAAATATTTAAAAATACTTTATTCTTTCCTCTTAAGAATAACATACATTTTTATGATGAAACTTTGTTTTTATTAAGTTTTGGGCCTGTTATCGTAAGAATCGTGTATTTTGGGGGGGAATCGGAATCGCATCGTTAAATAAATACTTTTATTTCCGATTCTTTCATTACGTTTCTCTTAAATTAAACCAAAGAAATACGTTATTAAAATGTATTTGATTTGCTCTTTTTTTCTTTCTTTCATTTTTTTTAGGTCGAACTTATCTATAAATCCCACTTACACTTACTTAACTTAATCAGTGAAACAGACACAATATATTTGGAGTGGGAGGGGGACTAACTGACTTTGATCTCCTTCCTACAAACAGTTTCTTAACTATTTTTTTTTTAAATAAATCTAGATAATGAATATTTTTCAGGATTTTTTTTTTTATGAATGCAGACATTGAATTTTAAAATTCTTCTTTAGGTGTTAAAAGGAAAATAATTAGAAATATTTACGAAGAATAAAATTAAAAGAAATAACAAGGTCCTGCTTTAAATAAAATATTTACAAAAATACAAAAGACAGTTTTTTTTAAAGCATTATATTAAAGAAAAGAAAAAAGAAAGAAAAGAAAAAATATTAATTTAACATTGAAAACGATTGCATAAAAAAAAAACAAAAAAACTGGCTTCCGTTTCAAAACAATTCCGCGATTCCCGTAATCGATTCCCGTGATCGCTGAAAATTGGGGTTCCCTACACATATAGGCAAGGAATCGGAATTGGAATCGTCTTGGTATCGGAATCGTGAGTCAACATTTTCCTGGAATCGGTATCGGTATTGGAATCGGAAAAAATTAGGAATCGTCCCAACACTAATGTTAAACTAAAGTTTTTTCTTATTTAAGCCAATATGCACAGATCACCTGTTGCACAGCCTCTATATGTGGCATTTAACAGGTAAAAAATTGGGAAAGGGGGGGCCATTCCATTTTCGGTCCGAGGGCCCGTAATACTCTCAGTCCGCCCCTGCTATAACACAACACATTTTTAATTAATTGTATTCTTGTGTTATTTATTCTTAACATGCAAACTTTGCTCTAATAGTGATTTCTGAACATTTTTCTCTCAAGAGAACCTTCTTCGAACAATTAATTACAAATCAATTTACAGTTAAAGGGGAACAACTTCTTTC